GCGAATATCGAAAGGAACCGAGATCTTTGGGTTATAAACTTACAGTTCAAGTTTCAACAAAATCGGATAAAAATTGTGACCTCTATAGGGTCCACAACCTTGATATACCATATTTTTACCCTATTTGAGAACGAACGGCGACCATTTTGTCTGTCAATTTTGGGCCGATTTTCACGAAATTCGAACTCGGCCATCCTTAGGGTGTAACATTCCACAAGCTAAAAACACGATTTTTCGTACAATCAGGGGCCATAATTCAGGAAGTTACGGTCCAATATTCGCGAATATCGAAAGGAACTGAGATCTTTGGGTTATAAACTTACATTTCAAGTCTCAACAAAATCGGATAAAAATTGTGACCTCTATAGGTCCACAACCTTGATATACCATATTTTTACCCTATTTGAGAACGAACGGCGACCATTATGTCTGTCAATTTTGGGCCGATTTTCACGAAATTCGAACTCGGCCATCCTTAGGGTGTAACGGTGATATAATAAAACGTTTTTTTAAATCGGATAAAAATTATGACCTCTATAGGGTCCACAAGCTAAAAACGTGATTTTTTGTACAATCAGGGGCCATAATTCAGGAAGTTACAGTCCGATATGCGCGAATATCGAAAGGAACCGAGATCTTTGGGTTATCAACTTACATTTCAAGTTTCAACAAAATCGGATAAAAATTGTGACCTCTATAGTGTCCACAAGCTAACAACGTAATTTTTCGTACAAACAGGGGACATAATCCATGAAGTTTCAATCCGATACATGCCAATATCGAAAGCAGCCGAGATATTTTGGAGATAAACCTATATTTCAAGTTTCGTCAAAATCGGATAAGAATTGTGACCTGTAGAGTGTCCACAAACAATTGTGGACGGACGGACAGGGGCGACGGCATAATACGTCCACATGAAAATGTGGGCGTATAAAAAACTGTGGCCTCTAGGGGGTCCACAACCTTGATATACCATATTTTTACACTATTTGCGTACAATTTTTATCTGATTTTCACGAAATTCAAACTCAACCATCATTAGTGTATAACTGTGATATATTCACACGTTTTTTTTAAAATCAGATAACAATTGTGACCTCTATAGTGACCACAAGCTCAAAACGCAATTTTTAGTACAATCAAGGCCATAATTCAGGAAGTTACGGTCCGATATGTGCGAATATCAAAAGGAACCAAGATCTTTGGGTTATAAACTTATATTTTAAATTTCAACAAAATCAGATAAAAATTGTGACCTCTATAGGGTCCACAAGCTAAAAACGCGATTTTTCGTACAATCAAGGACTATAATGAAGTTATCGTCCGATACATGCCAATATTGAAAGGAACTGTGATCTGTGGGAGATAACCCTATATTTCAAGTTTCGTTGAAATCGGATAATAATTGTGACCTGTAGAGTGTCCACAAATAATTGTGGACGGACGGACAGGGGCAACGGCAAAAACAATTTCATAAAGATCAGATTATAATTTTTGTCGTTTGAGGGTTCACAGGGTTCTACAAACTGAAACAAGGGCCTTAACTCGGTAAGTAATTTATAGAAAATTTTGAAATTTGACAGGCTTTTTCATTTTACTAATTATGGGCAGAAATTGCTGAAATTCAATAGACCTCCATTTCTCAAATTAAATGATGCATATAAATTTCATACATATCAGACGATAACTTTCACCAATCGAGCATTAACAAGGTTGAACAAATGAAACAAAGGCCATAACTCTAGAAGTAATTATTGTGAATTGTTGAAATTCCATAGGCTTCATGGTTTCACTAATCTAAATGATGCATATAAATTTCATACAGATCGGATGATAATTTTTGGTGTTGGAGCGTTCAAAAGGTTCAACAAAGTGAAACAAGGGCAATAACACTAGACATAATAAACGGAAATTGCTGAAATTCATTGTTTCTTCGTTTTACTTATTTAAATAATTTATATTAATTTCACAAAGATCGGATGATAACTTTTGGCGTTAGAGCATTCACAAGGTTGAACAAAATGAAACAAGGGCGATAAAAGGATTTTGCTTAAATTCAATAGGGTTCTTCATTTTACTAATTTAAATGATGCGTATAAATTCTATACAGATCGAGATGTTAGAGCATTCACAAGGTGCAATAAAGTGAAACAAGGGTCATAACTCTAGAAGTAATAAACGGAAATTGCTGAAATTCAATGGTATTCTTCTTTTTACTAATCTAAGTGACGCTTATCAATTTCATACAGATCGGCAGATAACTTTTGATGTTAGAGCGTTCATAAGGTGAAACAAAGTCAAACAAGGGCCATAACTTTAGAATTAACAGAAATTAACAAGGTTTCTTATCTCACTAATATAAACAACATATATCAATTTTTAAACAATCAGATAACTTTTGGCGTTACAGCATTCCAAGAAATTGTGGACGGACAGACAGGGGCGACGGCTATATACGTCCACATTTCCACCTGGGCATATAAAAATGCAATTTTCCGAACAATCAGGGGGCCATAATCCAGGAAGTTATGTGTACATTCGGATATCGAAAGGAACCAAGATCTTTGTGATATAAACATAAATTTTAAGTTTTATCAAAATCGGATCAAAATTGTGGCCTCAAAAGGGTCCAAAACATTGATATAAAAATGTACCATATTTTTACACCATTTGCATACGAGGGGTGACCATTTTGTCTGACAGTTTTGGTCTGATTTCCACAAAATTTGAATTCAACCATCATTGGGGTGTAACGGTAATATATTCAAACATTTTTTTTTTTTAATTCAGATAAAAATTGTGACCTCTAGAGACACCACAAGCTAAAAACATGGTTTTTCGTATAATCAGGGGCCATAATTCAGGAAGTTACGAAACAATATGTGCGAGTATTGAAAGGAACCAAGACCTTTGGGTTATAAACATGTACAGTGCACTCTGTCACATCCGACCTCTGATCACTCCGGCACTCTTGTTACATCCGACACCATTTTCATGTCCCGATTTATTTCCTTATTACTTCAGCCAAAAAATCTCTGGATAATTCGACCTCTGTACGTTCCGGATTACGACATCAATCAGCCGTCCCGTCATACGATTTCCATTGAATCGACACCGTATAATCCGGCCTTCAATCGGTGGGTGTGAAGCAAACACTTACCGATCAATTATCTGTCAGATTAAAACTGGATGGGTGTGAAGCCACAAAAGATTAACAAGCAATCACCAATCAATTATCTGTGAGATTAAAACTCGCTACCGTGGGTCTTTGTTGTTTACTTTGATAATTTTAATCTCTTGTACGACAGTTGTGACAAATACTCAAGAATATCAACGAATTTTCCCCCGAATTCACAATCGTAAAAATATTCCTAGCACCTGTTGGAAACATTCATTGCGCATGCTGATTGAACCTGAATAACCTATAAGTTTGGTCACCCTACAAATCTCTTCAAACCGTGTGACTACGACCTGGGGATGCTCGATTCACAGCCGGAACGTCCCGAATTGACAGAATTGCAATCGAGTGACGCGGAATTCAGTCCTGTCACAGTTCTGTCAGTCCCGACGACGGAGGGGGTGTGAGTAAAATTGTGACGTAATTAAACACGACGAACAGGTTTCGGCTGCATGGTTGGATGATATATTTATTTATCACCCAATAATACATTCTACAGTAGATATTGCTTGTATGATATATTTCATAATCTACTGCGATATCTCCTTAGGAGATATTGCTTTACATGAATTTGATTTGGTCAGTTGAAAAGGAACTACTTTTTTTATTTTCAAAGAACAGTTCATTTCTTATTAAAAGTAACTTTTTTTTAATTAAAAATGAAATATTGTTATTCAATTGACCTTGACGGAGACACTGGGTCAATATAAAGGACTTTGCAATGGTTGAATTGCTGTCAAAAAATGATGTATCACTACGCCGTAATGTTCATTAAAAGTGAAATCTACACTAAAGAATTATATTTATCTATTTGTGCATGTAAGAAGGGATTGGGTGATAAATAAAATCTCCTACTCGTCTTTTTTGATATCCAAAAATATCAACACTCGTTGATAAAGTAAAAAAACCTCGGCAGAGCCTTGTTTTTTGTTACTTTATCAACTTGTGTTGATATTTTTTGATATCAAAAAAGACTGGTAGGAGATTCTCTATATATCCAGTCGACGCATGCGTTTTAGCCCGGAGTACCCATTTTCACTCGATTGTCACAATTTTTGGGATTGAGAGAATTCAATTCCGGAACGTTCAATCGAGTACTCCCATTATCAATGAACATGTGATAGCAAAGACGAGAGTGCGATCAACTGAAGACGGCGAAGAAGATAAATTAACGACAGACTTGACCTATTCAAAATGCCTACGCATGTTAAATGAAATAAAAATTAATTTAATAAAATTTTGAATGTACAGAAAGGTTTATCATTTTTAAAGTGAATAACATTCTGGTGATTCAAGTAATAATACTTCCGGTTTTCGAAGTTACAATATTTCCGGTTTTGAGAAAACTGGGTATTCCGACACTCTGCGTAATCCGACATATTGTAACAATCCCGTACGATGTCGGATGTGACCGAGTACACTGTATATCAAGTTTCATCAAAATCAGAACAAAATTGTGACCTCTGGAGGCTCCACAACCTTGATATACCATATTTTTACACTATTTGCGTAAGAGGATCAGCCATTTAGTCTGGTAGTTTTGGTTATCCGACATTAGTGGAAGGTCGTGTCAGGGGTCATAGAAGCGGCTTTTGACCCTATCACGTCAGACATTGATTAATCAATCAGTGTTGACGTTTCTAGTGGTTTACCCACAGTTGTGGGCAGCACACGCCAAGAACTCGCCATAACATACCGTTTCATTGGCTAATTCCTCACATCAAATAGAACGCCTGTTATATAACAACTGTTCCAGATCCTAGTGCTGTGAAGACAAGTAAAACGAAATTTGAACTATAAAAATCGAAACGAAATAACTTACCTGTTCTTCAGCTCCCTTGGCAACAATCAAAAGAACTACATTACAGTCGTTTATAGCATAAGAAGCAAAATGTATCTTTATATAGGAATCTTGTGATTTGGCTCTAAAGCGCAGTGTACATTGTAAAACACTGGATGTTGGACTGGTAGATCTACCATTTATATATATATCTTGACCATCTGGAATCTCTAGATATCCAGCAAGAGAACAGTCTTCAGATTTATCCATTTCATCTGGAAATATACAATCAATTCAAAAGGTTTTCCAAAATGGGAGAGGCAACGTCATTACGAAAGTGTCAAAGGAAGTAAGTTTTTACACTTTCTAAACACTAAGGTACAATACCTTTGGCTGCCAGGCAGGATACGCCCACATTTTGCAAGAGCTGGATAGAGAACAAGCTAAAAACAAAAACGATTTTTTGAACAGAAAGTTATGGTCTGAAATGCGCAAATATCAAAAGGGAATGATATTTTTGGGGGTCATAACTCCGAAACCGGAAGTGGTAGACTAACGCCACCTGGCCTATGTTACTCCCGGTTCCGAACTACCCCTATACCCCAAATTTCAGACTCAGGGCAGACCTAGTGTAGCCGCCAACCCCGAACAGACCGGCTTCGCTCGGGGGTCATAACTCCGAAAGCGGAAGTGGTAGACTAACGCCACCTGGCCTGTGTTACTCCCCGGTCCGAGCTACCCCTATACCCCAAATTTCAGACTCGGGGCAGACCTAGTGTAGCCGCCAACCCTGGACAGACAGACAGACAGACAGACAAACAGACAGACAAATGACAGTCACAAATATTAGTATAGATGTTTTAAGTTATATCAAAATCTGACAAAAATTTGTGACCTCTAGGGCATGGGTTCCATGTCGGCCGTATATGCTGGTCGGGACCAAGAGCCCTGGAAAATGACCGAACCTGGATCAGACTCGTAGGTCATTTTGCACGCCGGAAAACAGCATATTTTGTGCTAAATCATAAAATCCTGGGATATGAAGAAACTCTGTGTGTGTCGTGATGTAAACTGTCAGGTATAATAAAATTATCAGCGTTCAGTAGTGTATTAATATTGTATTAATTAATATCTCTGGCAAGTTAGTAGATTCACATAATGTACTTAAATCAAGTTAGCGAATGAGTGACAGATGGTTACATAAAAAAGAGTTAAAATGTGGTAAATATTCAATTCTAGGTTGATAACAGATATCTAGACCGGGAGCCCAGGGGGTCAAATTAGCTGAAAAGTGTACCAATTTTCTCCTATATGTGATTGGAGTATTTTCGAGTGAATATAAAATGCTTTATCATGCCGTAGACCAATTTAAGCGTCCTTTGTTTAAAAAGGTCACGTGACAGATGAAGACGACCCAAGCAATTAGCCCATTTACCGGTAATTTGGATAATATTTGATTTCCCAAACTATCTCTATATAAGCACAGAAATACAAATAGTACCAGTAATTTGTCGTTATATTCATTATTGGCTATATATAATTATAATAACCATTTCTATACACAAACAATTTATATCATAACTCCATTTGAAATTCACGGCGAATATTTAATTGTTCAATCACTACGCATAACAATAGATCGCCCTCATTTCTCAGCCAATCAACGCTGGGAATCTTATTACCGTCTACGGTGCAATGCATACTACGGCCGTAGTAACTGAGGTTAAATTTTGGAGCGACAATTGCATGGGATTCATGGACATGAATATCAAATACACGTGATCATCGTGACTGAAGTTCCGGATGCCGTTTGGTGAGCTATTAAAGTGTGAATGTAATTGTTAAATACTTTTTTTTATAAAGAAGTTGAACGATGTTAGACAATAACCTAATTTTATCACAAACGTTTATCTATCGAATAATTTATATTCAGATTTCGTATCAAGTCCATTAAATATTGTCTAAAGAAGTTGAACGATGTTAGACAATAACCTAATTTTATCACAAACGTTTATCTATCGAATAATTTATATTCAGATTTCGTATCAAGTCCAACAAATAATACGAGGCTACTTTATTACAAAAACATCGGTGAACAAATCTAATTGATTATTGGGTAAAATATAATTATAAACAACTGATGAGTAATGTATGATTCAACGATTAGTTGTGGTGTGGAGAAATGTTTGCAGCAAAGTTCCCCCGTAACTTGTGTCGTTCGTTCGTGGAGTTTTAACACGTTCTACCTAGAGTGATGTCTTTGATCAACATTCTTAATCCAACATCTTACTTGTAAATTAATTTATAACCCCATGTGTGTGCAACGCTAATCATTATCTACATCGATATGTAAACTAATTTATGGCCCCATGTCTGCAACTTTAGTCGGGTTGATTAATGATAGATATTAACGACAGTACACTTTATCAATACACAAAGATAGTTAGATGACCGTTCTCAATCTCTTAATTCTAACGTATAATATTGAGATATTTGTTCGTATTTCATTTTTACCGTCGATTTCAGAGTAATGAAGTCAAATCCACATGCAGAAAGAAAGAAGCCGTACGATGACTACAGGAAATCGAGCTACGGATCGTCATTAAAAAATCACATTTCAGTCATGTTTGACTTTAAGATTCATTTTGCATGACCACATCTTTTACTTCTGTCCTCTTTTACTCCAGGAAATTTTCCTTCAATCAAGGGCCATAATTCAGGAAATTATAATTCGATATGCGCAAATATCGACAGGAACCAAGATCTTTGTGTTATAAACTTACATTTCAAGTTTCAACAAAATCGGATAAAAATTGTGACCTCCATAGGATCCACAACCTTTATATACCATATTTGTACGCCATTTGAGAACGAACGACGGCCATTTTGTCTGTCAATTTTGGGCCGATTTTCACGAAATTCGAACTCAGCCGTCCTTAGGGTTTAACGGTGATATAATAATACGTTTTTTTAAATCGGATAAAAATTATGACCTCTATAGGGTCCACAAGCTAAAAACGCAATTTTTCGTACAATCAGGGGCCATAATTCAGGAAGTTACGTACGATATGCGCGAATATCGAAAGGAACCAAGATCTTTGGGTTATAAACTTATATTTCAAGTTTCAACAAAATTCGAAAAAAATTGTGACCTCTTTAGTGTCCACAACCTTGATATATACTATTCAAAAAAAGTAGGGGATATTTGATTTTTAAGTGTTATTAAAGTCACCTAATGAAACTGACGAAGAAACAAATGACAAAATGAAATGAAGTTCACATTCATCGATTTATTCCAAATGATCGTTACACTAAGTAAGGCACAGACTGACCATTATAAGGGTAAAATGATACCCGGGGTCAAACAGCAAAGTTACCACAGCATCACAACCAAGTCAGTAACGGGTAAATCCTCCTCTGTTTGCCAAACAAGCATTGATCCGACGTGGCATACTCCTAATGAGACGTCTAAGGTCATTTTGGTCCAGATTGTCCCATTCCTGTTGCAACGCAGCAGCAAGTTCTTGGACATTGGCAGGACGTTGTTGACGTTGACGTAACCTCTGTCCAAGCATGTCCCAGACATGCTCGATGGGGGAGAGGTCGGGACTCAGTGCTGGCCAAGGTAATGTGGTGATGTTCTGTTGTTGGAGGTAACCTGTAACGATCCTGGCCCTGTGACATCTTGCGTTGTCATCCTGGAAGATAAAACGGCGGCCATGACATCGTGCGAACGGCACAACATGGACTGCCAAGATGTTGTCCCGGTAGTACTGGCCTGTAACACGCCCTGCAACAACATGTAAAGCCGTTCTTCCAGCAACAGTGATGCCTCCCCACACCATAACAGAACCACCCCCAAATCGATCATGTCTGATGACGTTAACGTCTTGGAAGCGCTCGTTTCGACAACGCCACACCCTCCTACGTCTGTCCAAAAAATCAACAGTGAACCTTGACTCATCTGAAAACATCACATTGCTCCAGCGTCGATTATCCCAGTGTTGACGATCCCTACACCAACGACGTCTTGCCTGAATGTGATGATCTCTCAAACAAGGGATCACGCGAGGACGTCGGGCGCGAAGGTGACCCCTATGCAGTCGATTCCGAATCGTCTGGCCACTCACTCTCACACCAGTGTCTGTTTGAAGACGAGCGCTGATCTGATTTGCTGTGATGACACGATTTCTCAAGGCCAAGGTACGGATAAATCGATCCTGGGCTTGAGTTGTCGCCCTTGGTCGACCTGAGCGTGGTCTGTCCTGTACAGATTGTGTATCACGGTATCTGGACCATAGCCTGCTTATGACAGACTGAGAAACATTCATCGTCCGCGCCACAACCGCCTGTGTTGTGCCGATCTGTAGCATGCCAAGGGCACGTAACCTTTCATTTTAGGTAAGCCGACGCATATCAAAATTTGTTTTCTGGTCACTAAAACAATTAAACTGATGTTTCCACCCTGGAATTCAATGCCACAATGACTGTAACATTCAAAGTCAGAGTCGTGCAAATCTTGGGTTGGACCCCCATGATGATCCCAAGCATCACCTGCATTCCATGCGGTAGCTATTGGTGCGTTTGGGCGTCACATGTAACTGGAAATGTTTCTTCTGTTAGGTTCTATAGTGACTTTTTTCGTAGTCATTTGCATATTTTAGTATTATGCCCCCAAAATCAAATATCCCCTACTTTTTTTGCATATTATACCATACTTTTACGCTATTTGAGAACAAACGGCGGCCATTTTGTCTGTCAATTTTGGGACGATTTTCATGAAATTCGAACTCAGCCACCCTTAGGGTGTAACGGTGATATAATAATACGTTTTTTTAAATCGGATAAAAATTATGACCTCTATAGGGTCAACAAGCTAAAAACGCGATTTTTGGTACAATCAGGGACCATAATTCGAGAAGTTACGGTCCGATATGCGCGAATATCGAAAGGAACCGAGATCTTTGGATTATCAACTTAGATTTCAAGTTTCAACAAAATCGGATAACAATTGTGGCCTCTATAGTGTCCACAACATTGATATACCATATTTTTAGGCTATTTGAGAACGAACGGCGGCCATTTTGTCTGTCAATTTCGGGCCGATTTTCACGAAATTCGAACTCAGCCATCCTTAGGGTGTAACGGTGATATATTTGAACGTTTTTTTAAATCGGATAAAAATTATGACCTCTATAGGGTCCACAAGCTAAAAACACGATTTTTGGTACAATCAGGGGCCATAATTCAGGAAGTTACGGTCCGATATGCGCGA